TTAAAAACAACGTAATTTTAATAAATTTTATTATTATATTCTTTTCTTAACAGTCAAAATTCTCTGAATGCAAATAACATTAAGTACTTAAACATTATACTACGATAAGACGATTCGAAACATCATAAAGGAAAGAGATGTCATTATATAGGTCACATAGCGTTATCTCTTTCCTATTTTTAGTAAGGAATAGACAATATTGGGAAATCATTGATTCTTTCAATCACTTTTGCAATAATACCACAGAATAATACATTATTTGGCTGACAGGTTCGTCATGGTACGAATATGAGTAATATGATAATAAGCTTACTTTAAACTTAAGGTTATGGTAGCCCCCTGGTAATTGGTATGGTTCTCTGTCACATTATTATTATATAAGTATGTACTGTGTCATTAAGCACATTTATTCTCCTTACACCAAAATTGGTAAGTGCCAATTTACCTAGTTATCGACGTAATCCCATCACTAAGTTCGAGTGCCTTCCGCACTCCCATACATTACGGCGTATACGCATAACTAACTAGACAAACGAGAACATGTCGCACAATACACGGAAAACTAGCAGCACTCTATTAATCTATGTACCTAACAATTTAGACACAGTATACAATTTGTTTCAGATGCAGAAAAATGGCAAAGCAATCTTTTAATAAATTAATTATTTATGTACTTAGATAAAAAATGTTTCACATCATACCTCTATGAAGAGCGTTAGGTACACGATACAACATACCACAATACGACCAGGGTTCTACCTCGCAGCACGAAATCGGTAGTTGCGGCCGTTTTTCCACTATGGATGACCTACGGGACTAGGGGTCTCAAAAGACAATGTCAAGAATGAAGCTGTATTCGCATCATGCGTCTTGTAATTTGGTCGAGTACTACGACGGAGAACGGCGGCAGTAGAACCTCAGAAGCAAACCTACAGGCGCGTTCAAATTAGCCGCTGTTAGAAGCGCTGCAGCCGCGTGACAGCACCGCGACGGATCAAATATTTTAGTGATGTTTTATCTTTCAGCGCAGTTACGCGATGGATTCTGACGAAGAAACATTACCTTTACCTAGTTCTTGGAGCACACACTTCACATACAGTTATTAAAAATGACTTACCTGCTATGTTTTTTTCAGTTGTAGCTTCAGTTTCAAAATTGGCAATAAATTTTAGATATAAATTTTCCCATGCTTTTTTATCCAGTCGATTGGCCGCCGCGCCCTGCTGCAGCGCTGCGTCTAACAGCGGCTAATTTGAACGCACCGTAAGATACAATCGATAGCTTTTTACAATAGTGGCCAATCTCAAAAACATCTATTTCACCAGGAAGATGATTCAAAAAACCTAAGGCGTGTCTTCCTCGTAATATTGACATATCGTGAACCTTCTCAACGTTTGTGATGTGATTAGTTTAACCAATGAGAAGCTTGGTGTCCCATTCACAGTAAATTTCTGCATTTTCTGAACAAATCTCAGCAAAAAATAATTCCATAACAAAACTATTTTGGACTGGACCACTATTCTTGATAAGCAGCGTACTGTCACGCTTGTTGTAGCAGATAACAGCCAGTTAACTCTCGAATAAAGAGCCGCGCTCTGTCCATTTTAGTTTTGTGATACCTTTTTTACTGAACTCGTTTTCAGAACGTTTTATTTTATCTAAATCATAAGAAATTAATTTGTAGAACCTATCAAATATATTTACACACATTTAACGAAGAATCATTTCATTTTTATAGCATTGCAACTTGACATACTGTCTGTATATGTTCAATAATAAGACAAAGTATAATGAAGACAAACTATTCATCGGATCAGGGAAAACAAGCTGGTTAATGTAAAATAAGACACCTTATGCAACGTATCATTATTGTGAGATAAGTTCGTAACGTACCTGCTATTGTGAATGTGACTGTTATCTGTTACAGGACCAGTTTGATTTTATACTTTTTACCGCCATTGTCACTCAATGCACTGCACATAGAATATATTCTATTGTTACAAATGCCAATTTATTTCTATTTCGTTTCTACTGTAAAAGGGTTTTTATTACAGAAATAAAACCGACAAAAACATAACTTAGGTATGTTTAATTGAGGTAATCGGCAAGCATGGAAAACGAAGTGCTTTTGTAATCGAAAGCTAGGCGGTCGATTCCCTACAGAAGGGCAAGGTATTTCTTTTGTTTCTTAAGTTGTATATCGAAATTCAAAATTTGGGATTCACCACGACCGCTTCTTTGTCATTGATCACACCTGTATAGATTGTATTTTTTATGCTAGTTTCTAACTTCATGCATATCGGTCGAGGAACGACCGAATTTTCGGTGGTTGCCAAGGAATTCGAATACAGACGTAAATTCAGTGGCGGATTTGCCCTAAGGCCCAGTAGGCCCGGGCCTAGGGCGGCCAGATTTCAGGGGCGACCAATCGTGACAAAAAATTCACTGATATAAATATTCTAAAGATTCACGCACGTTATGGCGTGCCGCACTGCACCGCATCGTATAACAATAATCTTCCTAAATCACTTTCGTGCATTTTATGTATAAAAATATATAGATATGTCTACCAGTATATGATGAGTGCTGAGAAAGGGGCGGCTGGCAATGACTACATGGCCTGGAGCCTAGGGCGACCAAGACTGCAAGTCCGCCACTGCGTAAATTGAGGGTCAAACGTGAAAACAGTATTAAAATTCTTTGAAAAATATAATTATAACAGTTGCACTGCCACAGCGCCCGTCACGCTGAGACATAAGTTGACAAGTGTCGTGTGTCTGTAGATTCATCAGCCCCCTAATGTTCCAAATTGGAACGAATCAACCATGTTCACATTACTGCTTGACGGTAGAAACAGTTATGGTGGCAGTACTTCCCTGAACCAACTCCTTCACAAGGAGCTCTACAACTGACTTTTTATTTCCAAAAATAAAGATAAATCCAAAGCAGACAATCGAGCGTAGTAACCATACCTTCCTGTGAGATTTACAGACCATTTGAGCCAGATCACAATCAGGGTTGTGCAAGGCATTATGACGATGATGCATCACCGATGAGTAACATGGATGTTGACGATAAGTGAAACACAGCAACAAACATTGTAATTCTGGTAACTTACTTTTATAGTCGATTGTTTCATTCATGCAACCTGAGAGCTCGTCTTTGCAAACACATCGTCATTTGCTTATGTTGTGAAATTTAGAAACTTGCTCTTGCAGCATTCTCTTTTGTGATAAGTTTTGTACTTTGTGACTGCATGTAAGGTACGGACAACGCTCCACGTCTCCCTTTTTTACATATTTGCACTACTTTGTAAGTTATTGATTATTACTGGATAGTAATAAAAACTCCGAAAAGTAAATTAAAAATGGCCTTTTTATGATACAAAATGATGGAACGAACAAGTCATGAGCGTGGTTGTAAGCGACACGCCTGTCCATAGTAGTTGCATAGTCGTTCAGAGCTTTAAATCGTAAAGATCTGAGAGGCTCTGCTACAGCGCCCATCACCCTGAGACATAAGTCAACAAGTCCCATGTGCTGGTAATCTCATCTTACTACTTGGCGGCAGAAATAGGTAAGATGGCAGTACTTCCCTAGACGAACTCTTACACAAGGACCTCTACTGCTACTATTCAAAAACTTATTCAAAATATGAAAATTACTGCGTTACTTACTAAGCTTCCAAAAACTTACATGCTAATAAAAATATAGAAACAACGGAACGAAATACGAAAGTTCCGAAAATCTTTTTGACGTTATGTTACTCTACCGTGATCCTATATTACGACATGACCACTCATATACACGATTCTGTATGTCAGGTAGCCTGCTTAAAGATAAGATTCATTTGATTAAATGTACAGTGTTTCTATTTTAGGATTAGCAAGTTGAAGTGGCAGTGAGCAGGGCACATAGCTCGTAGAACTGATGATCATTGGGGCAGAAAGGTTCTCGAATGGAGACCACGAACCGGAAGGCGTTCAGTGGGCAGCCCCCTACTAGATGAACGGATGATCTGGTAAGGGCGGCGGGTAACCGATGGATGCACGTTGCGTCCGACCGACCGGCTAGTCTGGCAAACTTTGGGGGAGGCCTATGTTCATCAGTGGATGTCATCCGGTTGATAGGATGATGATGATAGTATTTTTAAAATTTTGTGGATGTTCATGAATTATTTCGATACTTCACATTCCATACTATAGGTCGTATTCCAGAACTCTACTCAATGCTCAAGTCACGACTTGAGTATTGCAGTGAGCACTTAAAATCATACTCAAGTCCTTGCCATTAGGATCGTATTTCCAGTGCTTGAAATCATACTCAAGTCTGCTCAAATCCTGACTTGAGCATTGAGTACAGTTCTGGAATACGACCCTAAGACAGTCAATGTCGGTGGGTACTGTAAAAACTATGTACAATTTCAATTTCTAAAACAAGATATCGGCGTCGCAAGCAGCAATAATCATTATATATATATATATATATATATATATAAAACGTAAAACTTTTTTTTTATAATACTAACGGGACGAACGAATCGTATGCCTAATGGTAAACGATACGCCTGTCCTTAACAGTTGCAGTGCCACTCAGAGTTTCAATCACAAAGATCTGAGAGGCGCTGCCACTGCGCCCGACACCCTGACACATTAGTTGTCAAGTTCCATGTGTGTAATTTCACCAGCACCCTTACCCTTTGAACCGGAATGCAGTAATGGTCACATTACTGCTTAGCGGCAGAAATAGGTAAGGTACTTCCCTGGACGAACTCTTTCACAAGGAGCTCTACTGCTACTAAACGTGTAGATAATACACGGTTATTCAGTGTGGGCATCGAGATAATAACAAATGTATGTAATAATCACCATTATAATGGAACAAATACAACTTTTAAATAAATCACATTTTATTTGTCAACAAAAAATAAAGATTCCTTCCTTGCACTTACATTACATATATATACACTTACAACTTATAACTTGTTATAAGAAACAATGTAATGGAATTGAGTCATATCATGATAATTGTACTAAAAACACTCAACAATGCAAAGATGCAATTACTTTTGATCCTTATACATGTCATATAGAACTGAACACAGCCTGTATAAAGGTAAACCAACAACAGTAAAATAATCACCTTCTATACGTTCAACAAATGTGCCCCCAACTCCTTGTATGCCATACCCACCAGCTTTGTCCCTGAAATAAATAAAACAGATATTATAATATAAATTCAACGTGTCAAACTGCAGGGCAATGAGACAAAAAGTTGAATGTGACCTTTTAAATCAGGATTCAATATAAACATAGTTTGCATTCATTATTTTCAGTTCTTGAGGTACAAGGCTGTTCTGAAAAGACACCTGAAAAGTTGCAACATTGACCCCTCGAGGTGGGAGATGCAATCGAGTTGCCTTTCTGAGTGGAGGCTCTTTGTGAAAACTCAAAGGTGACAAAATTTGAGAAGCAGAGACTGTCAGACCTGGACGCGAAACGTGATGCTCTCAAGGCTAAGACGCCTGTAGCCATCTTTTATTACTTTGTTGACGGTGTCCTTACGTGTCGCCACTGTTTGCGAACATTTACCAATAAGATTGGCTACTGTAACCATCTAAGGGCACATGTAAGAGCAAACAACTGTAGCTCTAATTCTAAACATCAGTCGTTGTAGCCAAAACCAGCTAGGACGTACACACACACACATTCATTATAATTGTAACTTTAAAAAAAAACCGACCTCAAAAATTCGTGTAATTACATCTATTTACCAAATTTTATTAAAATCAGTTACTGAAAAATGTGCGAAACAGGATTCATCCCTAGTTTGCCACCCTTAGAGGTGGAATATTTTCTTTAAATTTAAATGGGACCACTTCTGAGGTACTCTCTTTCCAACAAAAAAGAATTAGCAAAATCGGTTCACAAATAAGAGCTATCAGGTGACATACGAGTATGAAAAGAAAAAAAAACAGTCAAATTAAGAACCTCCTCCATTTTTTTTAAAGGCGGTTAAAAAAGTATAATCAGGACATTTGGCTTCCTGCGTTTTAGGCCTTAGGATATCTTGCGCAAATCTGCAGTGTTAGCACGACACAGGGCCTATGGAGCAATACAACCATTAATATTTGAGCAATTGCTATCACCACTAAAATTACAATACAGAGTCAAAGAAGTTTTATAGAACTGAAGGGTTTTCCTGACTTCGACTGATGTCCACTAGATGTGGCCTGTGCCTTCAGAGGTTGGAGCTTCATACGCTCATCAAGGGGCAGCATTGGGAATTACATCTGCCTCGTGGCAAAATCTACACTTTGCTGTCCTCGCGCATCTCGCGCAAGTCGCGCCCTGTCATGCTCGTTTATTTGCACATGCAATGCTTTACTTTTAGGTTACATATGATCATTTTCAGCAGTTTTAGGAAATTCTGTTACTAAATTAGGGCTGAGACACTGGCATTTTCAACTATAGTCACTGAGTACTGACAACCCATGTAAATAATTTTATGTGTATAATATTTTTTTATTTTATATAACTATTTTTGGCTGGCATAGGACATATTCATTAGCATTTGCTACTGGTAATACACTCACATCGGTTCCCCAGTAGCAATATAGCCTCTGATCTGTTCATCATCAAGCTTGCCAAATATGACATTAGTCTTCTCTGTAAACTTGATCACCTTCTCGGCCGCCTTCACCACCACTCCTGTGTACACTGTGTGGCCTCTGCCAGATAGGCTGAAAAGAAGAAAAGTATTGTTTAGTGATGTGGAGTAAATTAACTACTAATACATTTTTTGTTTGATTGCTTTTGTATGCATTGAGAATTTTTATATTTCCATACATTTAAACAGTCTGAAAGTATAGTGTACCTAGTTTTTTATATGGGGAATTTTTTACATAGATCTTAAACTTATTTTTTCAAATCCACCAGTACAAACCCATGCAATTTAGATCAGGAAAAAACAGTTAAATTTTCAATAGGGTAGTGTATTTAGAGGAAAAACTTTGTATGTAAATATTCTTCTCTTTTGTTTTTTGCGTTTTATTTCTATTTATATTCAGATTTTCAGCTAACCGAGATGGTAGACATATTAAATTAAATTAATGGATGCAAATGGATTCTGTAGTCTCTAGCATACACACAGTGGCAAGTATAACAATATATTTTTCTTAATTGACAATGTTTCTATCAGGTAATATCTGGATTTACTAAAACTGATTTTACAAATTATTATAGTAAATATAATATGTAGGTATGTAGAACAGTGATTACCTACTTTGATAGCATTTCAAAGGCCTCAGCCTCTGAAGTAGGTTTCCCATACAACTCATGCCCCAGTGTGACCATGGTATCAGCGCCAATCGTGATATCTGGCACCTGCCCTTTCCCAGTGAGCCTCTTCTCAACTTCTAGCACTTTCTGGTATGCTGTCTCCTCCACAAACTCCGAAAATTCTTTGAAACATTTTGGATTGAGGTTTTCTTCAAATGAAGACGGGCATAAGCTTACTTTTAGACCCTGAAATCAACAAATGCATTGTGTAAACACAGAAACAATTAATAACTGTAACTGCCTCCATGGCTGAACAGTTACCGTGCTAGTCTGCAACGCAGAGGTCCCGAGTTAGATTCCCGGATCGGAAGAAATATTTATATGGCTTACATTTATCTCTCATGAGTTTGGGTGTAATTTGTGGTTGTCTATGTGTGTCCATGAAACAAGTTTTCCTTAGGGCAGGGCTATGAGTATGCGTTATTATTATTAATAGTCATCATAGGTCCGGTGCTTCTAGCTGCCCGGCGCAACGCGCACCATCTAGTTATAGATATAAATGCACATACTCCGTCGTCAACGTCATTGTCACTTTCCACTACCTACATTTTTTTCTATTTAATCGTTTATATTTAAAACAATATGAACAAAATCAGTCCACCGTCTCGAAGCTATGATAACAATCTAATCTAACCTATTGAGTCAAGTACGAAGTACGTACTTACAAAATGAATCAAATACGCAATAAGCGTGAAATTTCTTGAGGTGCATAAAATTACTTACAATATTCTCGATAAGCTCCTTTCTTCTCGGGGATCCACTCGCTAAAATAATGTTTTTCTGTTTCAGAATGTGCATCACTGGTTGCAACATATTTGTCATGAAATAACGAAGCGACAAAACCGAAAAGCTTACATATAAATAAAAACTATAAACGACGATCTAGTTATTTGTAAATTAAAATAGTAGCTGATTAACATGTGATTAATAAAGTATACAATGAACAATTTAAGGAAAATACTATGTTCACAATTTCCTAATTCGCGCGGTTAACATGTCAAAAAAGTAAATGAATAATATGTCTTAAAAAGGATGGAAAAAAATAGAACTCTACTCTATGCTCAAGTCCGGACTTGTGTATGATTTAAAGCAATAGACACCATACTCAAATCCTTGCTGTTAGGGTCGTATTTCCAGTGCTTGAAAACATACTTATGTCCTAAATTTGAGCATTGAGTAGAGTTTTGGAATATGACCCCAATACCTGTCTATTATAATCTTCTTCTTTATTTATTAGTGGCTTGTTTTGGTCTTTCACAATTCCGCCAATGTCACGTCGTAGGTAGCCTCTACACGGGAGGAGTGTATTTGTTTTCAAATATTATTAAAAAAAAACTATTATAATTTATATCTGTGGTTTTATATAACGAACGAATGAAAAACGAATGATAATGACTGTTCCTTCTAATTACGCTTCTTGTTTTTAAACAAAGAAAAAAAAACAAATTGCAATTTACTAAAGTTCTAGAGCTATTTCATTTCACTGGATAATATCTAAATTTATACAATCTATCGCAATAATTTGATGAAAGATGAATGTATGAATTGAATAAAATTTAGAGTACCACCTACATGTTTGAGTCATATCGATACGGTTAAATTTTAGAGTATTCGAATATTTAGTTGGACATAAGGTTACGACGTTTTTCAAGTAATTTTTGTTGAGCTTTTTATTGTTTAACTTTACACTGGCATCCATATAGCTTTGTAATGTATTTTATTTTCTTTTGTTATTGTTTGCTTTTTTCACAAATATTCTTGTATTAACTTAATTAACCTGTAACTTTTAGTTATAGGTTAGTTCCTGTATATTACTACACATAATATTACAAAACATTTAAATTTAACTACAAATTACAATTTTTTTTTTTATTGAATTTAGTCGTTATAGGGTCGTATTCTAGAACTCTACTCAATGCTCAAGTCAATTTCAAGCACTGTAAATACGACCATAATGGCAAGGATTTGAGTATGATTTCTAGTGCTTTAATTCGTACTCAAGTCCTGAGTGGAGCATTGAGTAGAGTTCTGGAATACGACTCATAGTGTCCACCAGATATTAAGTAGGTATGACACATTATTCATTAAAAAATTGAAGTAACTTTCGAACATGCTCACCGAAGGTTTCAACCAACAATTTTTTTAGTTACCTATATGTCTATGAAAATTAGTAATCCGGAACCATGGAAAACAAAAATTTCAATCTCAATTTGATAATCCTAATTTTAACATCAGACTGAACACTAGATGACAATTTTATTTAAGTTGATACGTTTCTCGTTTTCTGTTTATGTAAGGAATAGGAATACATTTCCCATTTTAACCCAATTTTTCATATAAATAGAGAAAATTGCAATGTAAGAATCACGCACGCATGTAAAACCGGGCCAATTGAAACCTATACACGCAACCTTACCAATAATGTGAAAACAACATAAAGTGTTGCTAATAACAACTTGGAATTTCGCACTTGCTATCAGAATTTTAATGCAGTGAGTCACGAGTAAAATTTAGTAGTGTAGCATGTTTAAAATTATTATCTTACTCCATGGCATTATTTTAGTGGAAATTCGTAAATGACATTGGATTACTCATATTTAAGTATACTATAATTGTATTATTTGTCAGCGAATTTTCCTAAAATGTGTAAATAAATAAATAAGATTAGGCATAATTAAGCCATGTACGGCGCAAGCACAGCGAGCGATCGGAGTAAAATAGGAGAGCCAGTGTTGCACACTTAGCGACTTTTGACAACAAAAGCGACATTTTGTTTCTACTTAGCGACAAGAAAATTTAGCGACTTTTTTGGCGCCTTTTTAATTAGATTTCGTTTATTATGATTTTATCTTATCTCATATTATTTTCAACTCAATGGTAGATTGTATAGATCTTTAGGTTGTAAACCATGTCCGGACACTGTCGCAGGACACTGCGACTGATATCTCCAGTGCTAGTCCGGATAACAAGTAGAAGATGATCTAAATATCCTTCGGTCTATCCAGACGCGTAGGAGTAATAGGAACTGGAGAGACGCTTCGGCGTCGGGACGTGAGAGTTCCTACAACTCCATCATCAGGGAGGAGAGTTGGTACTTAGTTGAATTTGGATTCAACGTATTCTAGTCGTTGAGTTATGCAGTTTTCTTCCCTTATGTAGAACAGAAAGCCTAGTTACCATGAAGATTAATTCGGTGTCGATAAAAAAATCGATTAAATAAGTAAGTTTTTGTGCGACTCTAGTGAATGGCATCGCACGTTTGCGCTCTCTTGGATTTTAGGATTTTTCAACAAAAATATTGGCCTTAAAAAGGTGATGGAAGCATAAATTACTGAAAATGAAGTCCATAGTGGCTTATGTGCGGAATTTACTGGGTTGGTGTGAAGAAGATTCAGCAATCCGAATAAATTTTAAACGGGACAGGTATGACGTTACTTGTTTACAACATTTCTGTTAGTTATGGCGGCAAAGGCCGGAGAAAATGGTTGTTAATTAGTACAACAGGCCATAAAGCATGTATAGTGTACCTTTGAAAGTTGCTGCAAAGTTTTGGAAGTTCGTAAATGTTTGAAGAAAGTACTAATTCCGTGCATATTCAACGTGTTTATATTTTCCTTGTTTTGCAGAGCCGACGATGAACTTTCGTCGGACGATGATACACCAGCGATTAAGAGGCTCAAGCAGTTGAAAAGAACAAGTTTTCCTGATATGACCACAAATGGTAAAAGTTATTTGAATTGGATAACCTCTAAAGTAATAATTCTTGTTGTCAAATTGACAATGAACCCTTGACTTGCAGACTTGTGGGGCAAGGAGGAGAGGCAAAGCAAAGTCCGATATGTGCCAATTCAGGTCGAAGCAGGCCACCCCAGTACCTCCACTCCAAATGAGCCTGGGAAATTCAGTAGTAGGTTGCGGACAGTGCCCGTCCAACTAGTGGAGGTGTCGGAGAATGGTCGGTTGACACCTGCCAGAAAGCCGAGGATGCACACTCCAGTGCGGCCAGTTGTTCATGCTGTGATTGATGATGATGATGAACCTGAGGTATTTCATTGATAAACGTCAAGTGTAATATAAATATATGTAATTGCAGAAGTAGTTGACTTCTACTGTCAAAATTGCTATGTAGATGGCTAGAGTAGTTAAGTTCACAATGTAGGCTTTTACTATTATTGTGGCTTCCAAAAGCTTTTAGAGCCCAATATCACTGTACTAGTAAACTAGTTAGACCCCTTTGTTATATTTTATTCTTATATTTGTTTTGTTTTTTTTTTATTGTGTTGACTATTTAAACTGCTTTAATTGTTCCTACCTCTATTCTAGGTCACACTGGTAGAAAATAGACCATCAAATACAAAGAAACCCACAAAAGTGTACATAAATCTGGACGATGAAGAAAATGACGAGGGACAAGATGAAGATGATGTTATATTCGTTAAGAAAGTCTCGTCTCCCCCCGTTAAACCTTACAAGTTCTTCATGTCAAAGAATAGTCATGATCTAACGGATTCTAAAGATGACGAAATACAGTATTACAGACTGAGTCGAAAATCAAATGACAGATACTCTCCTAAAACATATAGCAAATTCAAGGCGCCTCCAGGAATAACAAAAACGTATAAAAAGGCACCTACACCCATTCCACGATGGATGCAACCGCAGAAATCATCAAATCTTTCCAATGTTCGGAATAGGTACTTAAACCTTAATGGAAATGCTAGATCAACGTTGTCAGAAGTATTCAATTTAGATGAGAAAAGAAATTACCAAGAACTGATTAGAAGAGTAGCATCAACAACAAGGCCTGTGTCGGTTAATAAGCCTGTAGAAGTTATCAATTTAGCTGATGAAGCTGCATCATTCCGTATGACACAACGATCACAAAAAAGTGCATTAAATGAACTCAAGCTTGTGGAAAAAGGCCTTGCTGCTGAACGGGAAAGTGAAGCTACAAGAGAGTATGATCCTATTACTGTAGCATCAATTAATTCTTCAGACTCCGAAGTGGAGATTGTTCCTTCAGAATCCTCAACTTCTTCAGTACGAATTGATCCAATCAACTCTTTGAAAGACTCATTTAAGGACAAAGCGGTGACTTCTGACAACTGGCTTTCGAAATTGGATTCGAAGTATAAGCAAAAGAAGAAAGAGACACAGGAAAAGTTAGTGGAGGCGAGACGTGAATCTGATATAATTTCTAAAGTAAATTATGAACAAAAACTAGCACACTTAGAGCATAAGCTAAAGTATGAATTGAGTATACCTGAAAGCCTCATAGAGGAGCCTCAACCTACAGTAGAGTTACCTAAACTAACTCCGGAGCAGGAAAAATTAGTGAACAGAGCTGTAGGGCCTGGACCTCCAAACCAGCTATTAGTAGAGAAATTTAATTTAAGAATACACAGGTAAACATTTTGTCCAACTAATTATATTACATCTAACTCAGGATCAATATAAAATACGACTTTCTTTGTTGATTTGGTTTTTACAGCTTCATATTTTCCCCTGTATTCTTCAGCTTCAAAGTAATGATTCAATATTTTTATTATCATACTTTCTTTGTTTCAGACGGGACCTACAAACCCTAGCTGGCCTTAACTGGCTGAATGACGAAGTGATAAACTTCTACATGAACTTGCTGATGCAGCGGAGTGAGGAGAGGCCAGATTTACCCAAGGTGTATGCCACTAATACCTTCTTCTATCCTAAGCTCATGCAAAGCGGACAGGCGGGCCTGCGCCGCTGGACTAGAAAGGTGAGTTTATTTATACAATTTAAGCAACTTCACAAGCTTTTATTTTGAAAGATCTCAATATAAACATAATGTGTACACTACAGTGACTCCTTATAGGGAGAAAGAAGCTAGACTTATTCTTTGAAGTTCAAGCTTATTATCAATGAGCTATTTGTAAGCTTAATTATCAGTAGTCTTACAGAGAAGTTAATAAAATAAATTATTTACTAGGAGGGAGAAAGAGTTGGATGTGGAAGTTCCTGTGCCTGGGCCCTACAATGGGACACTATTGCAGGCTAATTAAAAAAAAATCATATTCTCACTCATCAGTTTCCAACTGCAATTAAAAGTTTAAACAGTTTGGGTTTCTTTTCCTTTAGTTCTGCAATCAGTCAAGATTTACTATGAAATCTGTTATCACTTATCAGTTAACAGTCATTCAAACTGAGCAAGTGAGTGGAAGGGTATTGCCGAAAGTAAAAGCCAAATGGCCCTTTCTCTGTTGAGTCTTGATTTTATGTATAAGGTTGTATTCAAGTTTAAGGAAATGCAGTGATATTCTATAATATTTGAATTATCTAATGTTTTTCTTGAAAATATGTACACACGCCTGCACATGAAGCTACACATACACGTATCTTGTTCCATTGCACTGGAGGCGATTTTCGAACAAAAATGTGTAGTCTGATGTGCCGTTGTCCGTACATGTCGTGTAAGAATGTCATATCCGTGGTAATGAATGAAAAGTTGATCTTAATAATTTAGATATGGGATATTCATAATGAAGCTTTATCAATGTATTTGCCTTATCTCATACTGTACTTGTACGATTGAGGATTAGACTTAAGAAAATCATTCTGTGATTACACCCAAAGAACATTCAGGTGGATTATATGTTTACAGAAAAGGGCATGAATGGCAGTGCGTAGAAGTAATATGATATGTATCTGTAATAATATTAATAATATTACTGCCACACAAAGGTCTCAGATTCGAGTCCCGGGCCAGAAGACATATTTGTATGGCCTACATTTATTTCTCTCGTGAGTTTGGGTATCATTTGTGGTTTTCTATGTGTGTGTCCATGGCACCCACGATTCAGGGTTTCCCTAGTATGGGGCTATGTGTGTGCGCGTTATTATTGTTATTATTATATTAGACCACACCACATACATTGCTCTGATCCCAAAGAAAATCTAAAGCACTTGTGTTATGGTAATTGTTAACAACAATGGCACCACAAACACCCAGAAAAGTTACTTTTCTACATTGACCCAGCCAAGGATCGAACCCGGGACCTCGGAGATGGCGACACCATGAAAATTTGTGCGCAAGCCACTCGACTACCAAGGTCATATATTTAGTATGTTTGCTCCACAACCCAGCAAAAAATATGTTTTGGTTAATATCTTCAAAATATTTTAGGTGGACATATTCGCGCATGACATGATAATAGTGCCAGTGCATCTTGGGGTCCACTGGTGCCTCAGTTTAGTGGACTTCCGCGAGCAGAAGATCAACTACCTAGACAGCATGGGCAGCCGCAACCAGCAGTGCTTGGACGCGCTGCTTCAGTACTTACGTGATGAGCATAAGGACAAAAAAGGACAGCCATTTGATGACAGCGGGTGGAGAACTGAATGTCTTAAGGTACTTTGTTGCAGCATTATTTAAAAAAATTAACTAATGCAGTACATTCTTTTCATACATCAAATGTATAACGGGTTGACCTTAATTCTATCATCTGGAGAACCATACAGCTAAGATGACCTCCCTTACAACAAAAGCAGTGTGCCTAAATTGTTAACTATATTTGTGCTCTTGAACAAAGGGCTGACTGATTTTTACCAAAATTAAGTTACATACAAGGAATAAAGACCACTCCAAACTATTTTTTGTGAAAATATATCTCAATAATTGTTGAATACACAGCAAGCGCAAACTGACTTCAATAATTAGATTTTTTACTATTAAGTCATATTTTATTACGTTAAAGACACTAATATCAAAGGATTTTACTTAGTAATGTACTGAACGATGCCCTTATTATGTAGTTCAATCACAATATATTATAATAACACAAAAAGGGCACAACTAAATACAATTGTACCCTTTTGTTCTATTCACGAGTCAAGTATTTGTAAGTCACATTTAAAATAATTACGTCCTTTATATGCAGTTAAAATATTTTTTCTTCTTCTAAAGTATTTTTAAAAACAGCTTATTAAAATACAACGAAATGTGGTTAAGTATTTATAACATAAATAAACTATATACTTAATATCAAATGTATATTTTAACTATTCTTTTTATCAGAAAATCTTAATTTTTATCTACGAATTTAGAATTTGCGGCGTGTGCTTTTCATTCTGCCGAAGGCAGATTTGTTGTTTAGGGTTCAATAGCCGAGTGTTCCAAATTTTTAGCCCAGTGTATTCCCTTATACCACTTGTCCACCTTTGTGTCTGTTCATTCATTAACCATGTGATTATCTTTTGTAGGACATCCCCCAGCAAATGAACGGGAGCGACTGTGGTATGTTCGCGTGCACTTTCGCGGAGTTCTCGGCTCGTAACGCGCCATACACCTTCTCACAGACGCACATGCCGTATCTGCGCCGCAAAGCAGCACTCGAGATATTGCAGGGGAAATTGATGCTGTAATGTGATGACTGATTTGTGATTTGGAGGTGTTAGGAGTTCACTAAAGATAATGGTTTGGGTATATACACTATTAGGGCTATTTTCATTTCGAATTGAATTTGATGCCTCTTAACAATGTGCATTTCTATAATTAAAACAACCAACTTATGTTCTATGACAAATGTACAAAAATTCAAACATTTTGTGATTTTTTCATACAAAACTGCACCTGCTGTTCGTTGATTTGCAACGTGACGTGAAATTTCAACTAATGTATCGAAAACTAATAATGTCACCAAAACATACTTCTGAAAAAAGGAGCCAAATTCACAAGGTTGTCAACAAAAGTACTGGTATTCTAGCGATACAAGCATGTGCTTGTATTGCTAGAAAACCAGTACTTTTGTACAGTTATACCTATTCATTATACAATCTTAAATTCGTTTAAATTCTTATGTTCGCCATTATACTTTTATAGTTGTAAACGGAAAAGGTTAAAACGTGTCCACTTACAATTAGAAAATAAACGAAACTTTAGATACAATGAGTAATAACGAATAATTTAAAAGTAAAGACAATTTTAATAACAATTAATAATTAACGAAACGTTAAAACAATGTACATTTAATTTCACCAGGCAAGTTAAACCGGTTGATTTTTATGTAAATATCAAAGACGACCAAATTCAGGAAGTGCTGTACATAGAATTTCTAGGAATAAGAATAGATTGCAATTGGAAAGAACACGACGCGTAATGTTCACTAAAGTAAGTTCTTCAGTAGGTACAAGTAGTCATAACAACTGGCTACATGGGCTCTGCTTTATATTATATTATAGTAAGTTGGGGAAAAATCCATAAACAAGTATTTTAATACAAAAATACGCTGTATTTAAGCTATATTTACATTTGCACCTGATCATTTAGACTCATGTCATGCCGTCGTCCTTATTTTAGTATGTGCTCTTGCCATGTTTACATAGCAAATGTTTGTATGTATGAATAAATGCGAGATTAAACTAGAAATATTTACACATGTAACTGTTCAAACCTTGTGACAAGTTAACATTAGTGTTACAATAATATGTAGATAATGTGCATAGTATACAATAAACCTGACTCATTCAAAAATAAAAAGAAAATCGCGGATTTAAACAGCTGCCAAAACCAAGGCTAATGAGCCTTTTTTATTACAATTGTTAATGATCAGATCCGATCAGCTCCGGTCCCTGACTCATCTCATTTCTTTTATAAATGCCCAATTTTAAGTAAACTAGTGACTAGTGACCTAGTTTTAGTCACAATGTTTTTGTAATCAAAATTAGTGTGTTAATCGAGATTTATTATGGTTGAGAATTTGGTTATAGATGAGAATTCCGTGTCTTATAATAGAAGTCGTTTGTTTTAATTACATGAATACCGTGTTAAGAGGTTTCAGGAAACTTAAGGATCAAACAAATGTACACAAAATTTGAAAGGTTGCTAATATAAAAACCTTTATAATATCAAGATCCTATAACAATTATTTTCGTTGACGCCGAATTGCCCAAGCATTGACTCCTAACATTTCCTCCGTTAATCAAGACAGTGGGACTGAAAAACAGTGTTTCATACAGTCAAAGAACACTCACGGGAAGTGAAATCAAGCAGCTAACTAAATTAACGAAGGAAATAATATCCTGATATTAATTTAATAATCGCCAAAATAAATTTTACATCTTGTATACTAACTGTCTGTGTACTAACTAACGGAAAACTCACATATTTAAGTCGAATTTTACTTGACATGTTTTGAACCAGTCTGAAAACAAGCCGCCAAAGCTCTGACATCCCGGTCACTTGATACAGGTACGGGTGCAAGCGGCGGCGCAAAAATTCGATTTAAATACGTGAATTATCCATTAGTTAACGTCCGAGTCTCACGGTAGTTTTCTGTTTAAAATTACCGTGTAAATTCTACAAAAACAAGTTTTTTGCAAAATTATAAAGAAGGATGGCGACGTCCGGTGTATTTTGCGACCCAGTGTTTTTGACGACGTGCGTTAAGGAGACCTAGCAATAATTGTGATTCATCAAATCAAAGAGTTAAAAAAAGCTAATTGAGTATAACCTGTAGAAGCTGGGGTTATAAAGTTGATGTAGGTTATGTTTATAACATTGTCCTGTATTTCGCTTCAGATATTTGTTCGTAGTAGCAGAAAACAACAAGTTTTAAGTTTGTTCCCAAAAATAATGAACAATTTGCCGAATATTCTCAAATCTGCCAAACCCGTCTCAACCTGTCTGCAGTTTTCGCCATCCTTTATAAATGAACCAAAATCAAAATTGATTCATTAAAACTAAGTTTAGAATGACCTATGCTAAAAATGTTAACAAAAAATTTTGACAATTAATGTACTGAGCTGCGGCTGTACGTACTCCTACTGAAATATTCTTATTTACAATATTTATTATTTGTCATGTTTGACCAAAGGTCAATGAAAAGTGTGAAAAGAGGTAGAAAACCAGTTGTAAAATTTTGTTAGCCGCCTGATTTTGACCCGTGAGTTTACATTTTATTTACGGAAATGCGTTGTGTTTACAATAGCCTTAAACGACTATTAATATTGCTAAGTGATACACTGTGAAATAGATGGCTTTGTAGAAGTACTCTCCAAAGTTTTTTTTTTAATTTGGATAGTTTGTGATCAACAAAGTATTTTGTTGTTGCCCATACATTTTTGTATTTTTGTAAGGTTAAGATGAGGTGCATTTAGTAAAATACACCTAGTGTTAACTTAGACAGTATACTGTTTGGCAGTGTTCAAGGCCAAGTCCACATTGCCATGTGGACTGTGTGCACACTTCAGCAAGATTCTTTTTGTAGTCACATTATCTAAATTGAAATGACAGATACGGTTTAAAAATATGACCAAATACAATAGCTGAAGATCTGTTATTTGTCAATTTATTACATTTTTTAAATAATTAATACTAAATGCTTTAAAAATCATCCACTTTATTTTTCTATAATTCTTGACATGAAATTAGAACTTACGATTCTGTTCTTGGGGTTCACAATGGGTTTTTGCATTTACTTGGACAAAATCAGAAAATGCATATATATTAAAACGAACGCAAATGATACCTCTAAGTAGGTAGTACCTAGAAGTAGAAGTCCAATTCATGTTTTACTTTCGTGTCGGTATAAATAAATCCAAAACACTTCCTTCATTATGATTTGTAAAGATATCTCTAGTATATTGATGAAATGTGTACATAATGATTATGGTTCACTATTACACGAGAATTACGTGGTCTCAGTAATATTTAGCAGGTTAGTTAGACTTGAAAATTACACAGCTTACTGGACTGAAATATACTTTTTCCATAAAAATAGTACGTTTCTGGTAAATAAGTAATTTTTCAATTAAACAAACTTGTCTTGTACACAACAAAAACGAAAAAGCAATTTAAAAAATACAAGTTACTGTTTTTCCACCGCCAAAACAAATAGTGCTTGTATTTTTAAACAAAACAACTTTAAAAATAAAATTATATTTCAGTCAATCAGTAAGCACGTCAACGAGAAAAATCGTTTCATTTACGATCGAATTCTTACAATAAAGATATTGGTGTGAACTGTACAAAAGACGGACTTATTGTGATGTATGATAATTTAAATGTGTGTATGAAAAGTGATGTCGGCTTTGGATTACACTAGATTTTCTAGTTATGTATAAAGTTAATGTTCCCGATATTTTTAGTTTTTAATTAAAGCTTTTCGTAAATATTCGTAATTCATTTGTGTTCAAATTTTTTCACTTGAATTTTTCGTTAGTTACTTAATTGTTTCTTTTACTTCAATTCATATTTTTGCCGAAGTCATTGTTTAGTTTTAGTAATGTAAAATAGCTAAGTTCCACTAATAGTAAGTAACAATTATTTATATAAATCACACAGTTCTATTGTTTAATTTTCACCATGGTCAGTTTTATAAGCGATCGAGTAATAAATATCAAATTGAAAGTATGTTTTTATTTAAATGCAATAAAGCAACGTAAAACTGCTAAACCAGACTCAAATACAGACTCCAAAAATCAAAGACAAATACAGGCTCCAAAACGTGTCATGCTCCAAGCTCTGTAACCACCCTATTTTTTTTTATTATGGTATTACCCACTGTGACTCATCCTAAGAACAGAATCCGATGTGATTATATAGCGAAAAGTGAATAAGCACCTATATGAGAATAATTTCGTGATGGTGTTTTGACAATTTATATATCTTATTTCGTTTCGGAAAAATAAAATCTAACAATGGTCGATCATCCACAGTGAAGAAGAACGAACGAAATGTACTATGTCCTGAGAACAAGTAGTCTTGCACATAGATCTTTGTTCTACGGATGAGTCTGTAATTGTCAAAATAATAATGAAACGCCTTCACATTCATGTTACAAAATATTGCATAACAATTTTGCTAATACATTATTGATAGGCGATAAACACAAATGGACTCGGGTCAATTTGACAATTGAAATGTAACTGAATTAACTTATATTCGCCTAAAATTGCATCTATAGGTATTTATAAGACGTGGTGTGGCTACAGAGAATTCCCCGTAGCAACGTCACCGTAATTGTTTTTTTCTTTTAATGTAATACATTCAAACAATAGTAGTACATTCACAAAAAAATACAAGTACGTCAGCCGTATATTACAGTGTCTATTATTGTCGTATAATCAAGCTTATAGACCATGTTACCAATGTCCAGATTCGAAGTCGAACTAAGGTAAAGGACACGGGGAACCGAATCACGAAGCTAAAGTGGAGCTGGGCAGAACACCTGATACGGAGACAAGATGACAGATGGAGTAAGACGATAACTGAGTGGCGTCTAAGGACTGGATACAGGAACGTCGGGCGTCCAGCGGCGACATGGGCGCAAGACATCGCAAGAATTAGGAGACGAACCTGAATGAGATTAGCACGGGATCGTGGGGAGTGACACAGAAACTTGGAGGCCTATACCCAGCAGTGGGTGAAGTCAGTCTGCATATGATGATGATATTACAGTGGGTAATATCATAATAAAAAAAATGGGGTGGCGTGGCTACAGAGCACTACTCTAGAACGAGGTTCGATAGGGCACGGTAGTGCACACAAGCCAAGTTTGTCTTATTTTTCAGTTCTAGATTTACATTACATCATTTATCCATTTACATTGTATTTAATAATCCTTATTAATACGTATAAGTCGCAGTTTTTCGCAATCGAGAAGAGCCACTCCTGAGTCGTTGTTGCCCCCGCAGTAGTGCGACGACGAAAATACTGACACCAGACGCCCACGAAGCTGACACTAACAAAAAAAAAGAACGGGAAAATTAAAAATTAGCCTAACTAAATTCAAGAACAAGTATATTCATGGATATTTTTTTTTATTATATCAGGTGACGAGACGAGTAAGTCGTGCGCCTGATGGTAAGCTACACGCCTGTCCATAATAGTTGCAGTGACACTCAGATCTTTAAATCGCAAAAATCTGAGGAGCCACTGACACTGCGCCCGTCATCCAGAGACAAGTTGACAAGTCCCGTGTACCTGTAATTTCACTATACCGGCTACAAGACCGGCGAGGACCTGTAAAACAGTACGGTTTTATGGGTCATTTTTTCTTATTTGTCGAAATTCAGTTATTAATTAAAAAGTTGCTAATTATTGATTATCTAATGAAAATTGTCCTTGATAGTAATATTACTAAAGGATGCCAATTTACGTTACATCTTACTACTCGTGCCAGCGTCCTGATTTTGATTCAAACGGGAATCGATCTGATCGGGTAGTCTCGAAATCAAAAGGGTTTCTGAGCGAGATGAACCTGATTCCTACTATTTCTTTCTAAATCAGCTATTGTTCCGATTACAAATGTCAAAGTTTCCGATCAGCCAGTTGTGAATCGCAATTATGCACCTCGACTCGGAAAAGACGTAGTTTCCGATCGGGAGAGGCAATCAAAATCAAGCTGCTGCGTTTTAGTAGCTGTAGAGTGAAACTTCGTCCAGGGAAGTACTGCCACCTTACCTATTTCTGCCGCCAAGCAGTAATATTAGCATTACTGTGTTCCGGTTTTGAAGGGTAAGGATGCTGGTGGAATTACAGGCACATGGGACTTCTCAACTTATGGCTCAGGGTGTCGGGCACAGTGGACGAGCCCATAAGATCTTTGCAATTTAAAGCTCTGAGTGGCACAGCAATTGTTATGAACAGGCGTGTAGCTTACCACCAGGCGCACGACTTGTCCGTCCCTCACTTGATATTATAAAAAAAACGTGTAGCACGAGGCATCCTTTTTCCATCACGCGGATTCTGCTCTACTTGCTTTTCCATTTATTATGTCATTGTCAATTATGCTTGGCCGAGATAGCGTCCGGATATGGTGCGTGTTAATAAAGACACAGGTTTCATGCCTATTAAAAGTTTTGACGCAATAACGCAGAGCCAAACCAGCTTGACAGGTAAGGGTCTTAACCAGGTATTTCATCACCATAAATCCACTTTGATGCAATTCATGCGCGCGGATGACATGCGACAGGCGATTGGCGGCCAGGAAGCGATCCAGGGCATTCTGATCGAACACGTGTCCTGTGCCGCGCTTTGTATTAGCAGCAAAACCTTCGTTCGCTGTCAGCTCGAGTGCTAGTGTTGCCGTCATCTTATTCGGTCTGTAAAAATTGTTGTCGTAAACAATTGGAGTCTTCAAAAACGCCCTTTAGTCGAGACTTTGTAAGAAATGTAAATTTAAAGCATATCTTCGTCGTTCATGAAATAATACACACAGCGGCAAATTTAACGGAACACAAAAAGTTGTGAAAGAAAACAAAGCATTTTTTTAACCTTTCAAAAACATTTATCTTAAAATAATACACATTTAAAATGATAGTTCTTAAATAAATAAAAATAACTGCATTTAGAAAACAACTGAACTAAAAGAAATATACAAAAAATACGCAATACGCTTTTTTCCTCTTCTCATGTAACCAAAATATCTTTGAAAGGAAGAGTTGATGGAAATAGTTTTATTTAAAATAATAAAATGTTCCACTGCGTGCTTTCAAGATCGTTTGTTCCCATTTTTAGCATGCAGAATAATGTTATCTATTGATTCTTGGTAGGTTCTGCGACTCAATCATCGTATTCACCTATTCAGCGGCCGCGGAATCCTGAATTGCATACTTCGCTTCAGTCATTTTCAAACATGCTCTGTCCATAACAGTAAAACATCCATAACTTTGAGATACTTTCGAGTTGAACGAGTGGCATGCGAATTATCATGCAATAAGATAAAATCGTCGCCGGTAAAGTAAGCAAAGAGTATCAAATGCTCTTCTAAAACGTCTCTTATAATGATGAATCTACAATGATGACTACCAAGTCCGTCCTCTCGATTTCGTTTCGAAATTTAAAATATTTGTAAGAAAAGCGACAGTAAATTTATTTTTTAAATTTAAAATAATTTAGGTGATAAAAAACTAGAAACCAGCAAGCAATTTCAAATTAAAAAATTAAACCTTTTTTCCCGCTCAATATGCCGCCGTGTGTATTAACGAAACCTCACTTGATAGGATCATTCCAAAGTAGTTCCCAAGCGATTGTACTCTGCTCAAAGGGCCTTGTTAATGGCACTGGAATTTTGTCAATCGCTGTGATCAACGGACACACCCAAGGTGGAGGAATACCTCCGTGACAGCAGAAAATCTAAAACGAATAAATTCACCATACAAAATTTTTATTCATCAGTGCACAGAAGAATAGGTAACCGATACTACTTATTTTTGACCAATTTAAAAAAGGAGGAGATTCTCAATTCGGCTGTTTCTTTGTAACGCGATTACTCTGGCATTTGTGAACCGATTTTGATGATACTTTCTTTGTTGAGAGGGTACCTCAGTATTGATCCCATTCAAATTTGAAGAAAATATTCCACCTCTAAGGGTGGCAAACTAGGGGAAGAATCCCGTTTCGTGCACTTTTCGGTAACCTAGGTCATTGCAAATAGATGTAATTTCACGAACTTTTTGAATTCGGTTTTTTTTAATAAAAATTTATATTCTATCAATACTAGTCAAGAACTAAAAAAAAGAAAATAGAGACACAAAATGGACACTACACATATAATACGATAAATTTGGGATACAGACAATAAGTATATGGGCCCCTAATGACCGAAAAAATCTTCACCAAACTGGTCAAAGTGCGTATTTACTTCGTATCCAAACAACACCAAGGAACAACGACATTTATTAAATTATATAAACCTTGTCGTCGACAACAGCTGCAAGGGGGAGAACGTCGAATACTTGATTGATAGCGTTCCATATTTTGATACCTTCAGTTTCGCCGTATTTGTTTACGCATTCGCTGCACAAAAATATCACTGTAAGCAATGGAAAAGAACAATAAACCGTACAAAACAGGTCGTGATTCGCTTACGCATAAAACGTGAACATCTTCTGGATATCTCTAGTTTCATGGTTTCCCCGAATCATAAGAACGCCACTAGGCCTTTGAAGTTTGGCAGCCAAAAGATAAGCTATCAGCTCGGCACCGTGAGGGCCGCGATCCACAAAATCACCCAGAAAGAGCAGTCGAGCTGGAGCTAAAGCTGGTCCGGAAGGCCATATAGCCGACTCCATTGCGAGAAGTGCTCCCAAGTTTCCATGGAGATCTCCTGTAACATACATATTTCATACAGGCATTGTAGTTGGCAGCACTGATCTGACTTCAAAAATACAATGGTCACTTGTCCCACCAATTACATTCGATAGTGTGACCTTGCTGGTCAGTGACTATGTAAGAATTTAGGAGTGCTCATTGCCAAAAATCTCATCTGGGTCCACAAATACAAGAAGTAAACCGGAAAACTTTTGCGTTGGCGGCATCATTGCGGATACTTCGAAATTTTCTTCCCATTGCTACTAAAATTGCTTTAGCACAATCTCTTCTATTACTCATATTAGACTATACTGATGTCAGCTACCTCAATCTCACTGAAGAGCAACTGAATAAATTTGAGCGAATCCAAAATTTTGATATTAGATTCATATTTCGATTACGCAATTATGTGATCATATTATAACGGAATTTCGTAGTAAGTAGTGGTTGTCAATTCGCCTTCGCCGGAATGCTCATATTCTTTCTCTACTTTACAACGTCCTATTTAACCCCACTTCTCCTGATTATCTCAAAGAGCATTTTAATTTCCTTCATGATGTCACTCGCATGTCTTGTGTTCATCGGAGAACCTGAGGCTGAAAATATCCATGCGCTCATCTAGAGCTCTGGATAAACCTTTTTCGGTTGAGGCAACTCGTTTATGGAACAACCTGCCGGAAGCGATAAGACATGCCCATCGCTTGACAAATTTAAGGAATGGGTAAATGAACATTATTTATCAGTTAGTAATTTCAATTTAATAGAGTAAGTTAAATATTCGTCATCCAAATTAAAATAATGTGTATATAATGTGTGTATATGTAATATGTATCACAAGCATATTCTATATATTGTATGTGTATATAGTTATATATTTCGTATGTAGCAATGTGGATATTTGTTATAATATATAATGTAGTACGTTTTTATGAATTCGGTTTAATTTATATATCGTTTAGCTGCTTTGTGTACCATTAACTGCCCTTCGTCTATAACTCCGTAATAATTTGTAAAGTTGCCTGGAAGAGATCGCTGTCGAGCGATACCTTTAACTATGTTTTATTTTTTGTATTGTCACTGTGTTATTTTGTGTGCAATAAAGCTTATTCTATTCTATTTTAATTGGGACGATAAATTATTACCCGGAACTTCACGTTCTGCGGTTAACATTAATTAACATTTAAAGGAAAGTCACCTATGGCGTAAACTGGTGAAGAAACGCGTATTAAACGTGACTCCTTGGCGAAAATCGGACGTGTAGCGTCACAAAGTTTAAGCAGCAGCGCACCCAGATTCGCCTCTTCACCCTGATTTGCCCACGCAAATGCCGCTTTTGCATTTAATGATGCGCGCTTCTGAAACCCAAACACATTCAGCCTCAACGCTAAAGTGTCTTACGTTTTTATCAGTAACACAAAAACAGAAAATGACTTGAACTTTTCGCAGACGTCAAAATTATCGACCAAAGCAAGGGAAGGCTACAAGTTGATAATATTTACGAATACTCTGAAAAATGTTGCTTGCATGCATCAAATAATTATAAAATACAGCAACGGTAGTGTTCATTTCATGGTGCTTGCGAACCGCTTCTAGTTGTATCCTGGAAGTGGATCTCACAGAGGTTGGCTTATCGAGAGGCGTGGCGAAGTAGCGCACGGTGTTCATGGCTTCGACTGGAGACGCGGTAGGGCCTAAAACGTCAATGGATGCCGCTGCCAAAGCGCCAGTTATCAACCGAGCCGTTGAAGGACTAACCGCATCTTCTGAATGTAAAAATTCCAATGAATTCATTAATCGGTTGGACTGCCTGCACTCGAGTCCTATGTGTAGGGCTCGGATAAATATGCACTATAAACTACAAACTATGTATTTATAATATGAGCAAAAAAATCTTAAAATATGGAAAAAATATGCAGATAAAAAACAATTGTTTTCACATAGATTACGCTTTATTATAAAAAAAATCAACAAATTTTATTCCACTTCAGTGGGTCACATCTAGGTTGTCTTCTAATCTTCCGCACAATACACTGTTAATTCTTTTTAGTGCAAAAATAAAGGTTTTAATTTATTTCAAGCACGCACGCACCTTTATTTTTTTTTTTTAATTATAGAAATTATCACTTATGATTGAAAATAGATTTATTGCAAGTTTCATGTAGAAATATGGTCTAAACCTGTAAATATGGAAAAATATGGAAAATAAAAGTAACTTTGTCATTCACACACAAATTAAAGAAAGTCAATTAATGAAATGAAATATATGTAATTACATATTAATCCGGGCCCTACCTATGTGTAAGTGGATATTTTATGTAAGATCATTGTTGACAGTGTTATGGTGCATCTACACCGGGTCGTCGTAGACTACTTCGCCTTCGACCCGATTCTCTATTTACACCGGGCAACTTGGTGTAAATGCGCCATAGCGGTATTGACGGCACATAATGATGCATCAAATACCAGAATTTCAAACAAGGGCTTGACAGTGCGCTTTAAGAGAATTGTATAACCGGAAGCGGATAATGTAAGTTCAGAACATGGCGTCGGGGATAGTGCAAATCCGCGTATTTTAATTATTTCCATCATTGGTAAAAGACGCGTATTTACTCTAAATAAAATTTTATGAGGGATTTAACGTTATATCTATATGCTAGTTATACGTAATTGCACGCACTATCCCCGACGATAGGTACTTTTGTTTATCACCAGCTGTAGAACTAACCGTCAAACTGACTAAGTTCTAGCATCTCGTTCTGTGCTTGCCTGTGCAGTCGGACGGAATACATAGCGACGTTATATTGCGGCCGAACGTTAACGTTTTGACGGCCTCCGGTGGTAGATACTCCAGGATTATCCGTAATCTGCACTGGTTGAGCAAAGGTTACAAATCAAATAACAAATATTGATCTATTTATGCACAGAAAAATTAAAGAATAATTATGTAAAAGCATTTTTTTAATTGTCTTAAAATAGTGTCACAATCCTTACTTGTTGTAGCATTTGAGCCGGCTACCGCTGAATTTGTTTGTATGTCACGATCGCTGAAATTGAAATAATCTCAAGTTTGTTGTAATATTAGGAAATCGGTTTGCGAGAATAACTTTGAAGTGAAAATTTGACAATTTTATTGATTTGAATACGTCGCACTTTTTTGATTTTTCGTTGATTCTAGCTTGATTAAAAATCACACCATTTTGAATGACTCATCAAATATATAGCCAGAAATAGAGACCAAATGTCATTTAATTTGTTTGAAAACTGTTCCGCCAAATCATTACGGTGACAACTGCGCTCTGATTGGCCAGCCCGAATTCGAAATAATTGACGGTTGTCGTTTTACTTTAAATCGACCAGTTTAACTTGAGCTTTGCTATAATGGACAAAAATTCAAAAAAGTACATAATTTAATATTTAATTATCAAAGAAATGTGATTCCGTTTGTTTTGTAATTAGATGTTTTGCTGTTTTTACCACACCACCGAATGGAACAACCCCCAATAGTTAGAGATTTTTGGAATATACGAAAACGTACACACAGACCAGTTATTGGCACTGTACTATTTCAGCTTTCTAATTTGCGATTTCAGCACAAACGAGAGTTGATATTTAAAAGTAATAATACCATTTGACTGATGAGTTGCCAGGGATGGATGGCCCTGGATGGATTATTTCGTCTCTATTTCTGGTTATATACTCGATGCTTTCAATACTCACTGTAAATCAGTAAGATATCCCAGTACACTGCGAGGAGAGCGCAAAAGCAAACTTGTGCCCCGTAAACGAAGTTCTGTTACAGCTCTAAGGAATTCCGTCAATGATAATTGCGAATTCGGCTGGATTCCTAGTTGTCTGAAAAGCGACGTAAGAAATAGAACCCATACTTCCCGATATGGTGAAAAAAACATATTTATACCGTTGTACGCGGATAGGCTCCAAGGCAAAGAATCAAATATGAGAAGATCGGAATGTGGAAAATATGAAAGGGTGACGGCCTGCAAAAACTATAACATATGGAGGGAATATTTGTGCACTTTTATGAGCTACACCCTGGTCAATTTCCGCCGAAAATAAAAAATGTTCGAAATTCGAATAAACAAGATAGCCGCCATACAAATTTCGAAGTAATTAACAGATTCAGGCGTTACTTTGCGGAAGTCCATGTTAATAAAAATGGAAGTAAGTTAATTTGCTACTCCGCGAACCCAGTGAAGGTTAAATCGTGCAAAATAGCTACGCTTGTGTTGAATTTTTTTTTTAAATTCATTTAAATTTAATTAACTGCATGAAAAAATATTTTCTAAATAAATATTTTTCTAAAATACAATTATATATTAAAATTCAACACGAGCGTAGCTATTTTGCACGATTTAACCTTCACTGGGTTCGCGGAGTAGCAAATTAACTTACTTCCATTTTAATTAACACATTTCGAAGCCTTCTGCCACGGAAACTATTAGAGATAAGTACGATGTGCTCGAAGGAATATCATAGAGGGTAATAGTGGTCAAGTACCTGGATTAAAAAAAAATCAAAATTGCGAATTCAAAATGGCGACTGAAGAAAAACTCGCTTCGATCCGGCTGAAAATTGGCATCCTAAAGACGCCCAGGAGTCCTTAATCAAAAGGTTTTCTTCGCCATTTTTTAATATGGCTGCCATATAATCGTTTTTTTCGTCAAAAGTGGCTGCCGAAACAGACTTGCTCTGATTCGGCTGAAAATTGGCATGCGGAGGACTCTAGGAGTGCTTGATAATAATTTGTGATCAAAATTTGTTTTTCGCCATTTGTTAATATGGCCGCCATACATGCGTTTATAAAAAGCTTTTAGCTCTAATTCAACTGGTAATCGGTATGTGGCTCTATAGTTGTTTGATAATATTTTGAGGTTAAAATTTCTTTTTCGTCTTTTTTCAATATGGCTGCCATACAAACTTTTTTAGCGGCATATAAAAATTTGCTCTAATTCGATTGAAAATGTACAGGTGGGAGTCTCTATGAGGGTTTAATAATAATTAGCGGTCAAAATTTATTTCTCGCCATTTGTCAATATGGCTGCCATACAAACTTTTTTGGTGGTAGATCATTTTTTTTCCTAATTCCACTGAAAATGGCATAGCTTCAATCATAATTTGGGGTAAAAATTTTGTTTCCGCCGTTTTTTTATACAGCCGTAATTTTTTATGTAAATGGCTGTTGAAAAAACTTGCTTTGTTCGGACTGAAGATCGGCACGAAAAGATTTCTAAATTGTTTGATAAAAATTAGTGGTCAAAATATATCTTTGCTATTTTTAAATATGGCCGCCATTAAATAGCTATTTCATTTTTTTTAAAACAAAGTCATAAGTGCCGAAGCCGTAGGCCCAGGTCCGCGGAGGGCGAAGCCCGAAGCGTACGCACGCTATCGTATGAAGGTAACTATACGACCCAGAATACTCAGACCGAAACGAACTTAGAAATGTTCGTTTCTTAAATTAGTCCAAATCGGGAATCGACATCCTCATCAAGCGCTTATGGTGTGTACTAACTGCTGTGCCACCGAAGAGCTCGACCCCACCGTAGGTGGGGTACAGGTCTCGTATATATAATACATTATAATAATAATGCACCACGCACACACTCAACATAGCCCCGCACTAGGGAAACCTTGTGTCGCGGGTGCCATGGACACACACATAGACGACCACAAATTACACCCAAATTCACGAGACAAATAAATGTAGGCCCGGGAATCGAACCTGGGACCTGGCAGTCCGGCATGGTAATCGTTCGGCCACAGAGGCAGTTGAGTTAGTAGCAGTAGAGCCCATTGTGAAAGAGTTCGCCCAGAGAAGTAGTTACTGCCACGTTATCTATTTCTGCCGCCAAGCAATAATGTCAGCCTGACTGAGTTCCGGTTTTGAAAGGCTTACCCTTCAAAACCGGCACCCTTACGTGCTGGTGAAATTACGTTACTTGTCAATTTATGTCTCAGGATGAGGGGCGCAGTGGCAGTGCGCTTAAGATCTTTGCGATATATGTAGGTATAGAGTTGAGTAGGACTGAAACTGTTATGGACAGGCGTGTAGCAGGCGCACGACTTGTCTATCCCGTCACTTGACATTACAAAAAAAAATACATGTTACATTTTTATAAGACCTGAAATCAATACCTAAGACAAGCATCAGCATCTCTTGCAACGCTTAAGGCGTCGACTGATAATTGTCGACTACCACGTGCAGCTGCAACCAGCTCTTTGAACTCGACGTATTCTAGCTTCATATCGCTATTGCTGTCGAAATATCTGTTGAGCAAAAATCAGCTATTACGCTATCTATACACGGAGTAAATAATTACAATGTACTATTTACTATGTACTGTATAGAACAAAAATAATTATTTTTTTATTTCAGACCTATAAAACAGGGTTTTTGCAGCAGTGTTTGTTTCCTGACCTAAAGATATATCGGCAACGTATCTCCGCGATTGTACCGTTGTGTTGTGTTGCAGGTTCTATCGCCGCTGACCACATCAGCAGCTCCGAGAACGTAAGTCCACCGCGATTTGTTATATCTGCGGCCCTGTGTGAAAAATTTTGTTAGTTGTTAACCCCGAAACAAGCGCAATATTGACTTTTCACAACAATATTCACGTTATATAGATTTTAAGACTTTCGTGGTTATTCACTAAATGATTATCACTAATATCAGGTTGCCAGTCAACCCATGACCATGGAGTGTGCAACCGTTCCGAAATATGGGGAAAATAAAAAGAAGTCATACCGTGGTAAGAAACCTGATATTAGTGATAATATTCGCGTTATCAGTAATCCAAATAAAAACACATATTTCGCAAAATGGAGTGTTGAATATGTAACTTGTCAGCCTTCACTACAGTTCTTTTAATAATAATAATTTTTTACCTTCAATAATAATTATTTTAGTAGCAGTAGAGCTCCTTGTGAAAGAGTTCGTCCAGTGAAGTACTCCTTACCTATTTCTGCCGCTAAGCAGTAATGTGACCATTACTGCATTCCGGTTCCGAAGGGTAAGGGTGCTGGTGAAACTACAGGCACATGGGGCTTGTCAACTTATGTCTCAGGGTGACGAGCGCAGTGGTAGTTCCCCTCAGATCTTTGCAATTTAAAGCTCTGACTGGCACTATAACTGTTATGGACAGACGTGTAGCTTACCATCATGTTCATCCCGTCACTAGATGTTACAAAAAAAAATCGGACCATTAAAAATATCCATAGTGCCTATGTTAGTACGAAAATTTAAAAACAAAGTAAGTATAATACAATGCAGACATAATTTATAACTACACAATAAATTGGGCTACGCCCTTAATTTGATCTATCCAGAATTTTACAATTGGACAGTCAAATCTTCCCGCAATTGCACTTTGAATGCTGTTGGGACTTTGCCTCACGCGACTCAACAGCGAGACAATCTTTTTCCGTTTTACGGCCTGGAAGCCGTCCGAGTGAGCTTCCGCAAACGTGACCGAGGCATTGCACCAGGAGGCATTGCACCAGCTTGGCAGTCCCATCAGCACTTTAAAAGCGTTGTTATATTGAACATGGCGCTCGCTATACGCAACGTTTCGTATACTTCACCCACAGGCTGCTCCAGTAGAAACCTTCTTTATACTACCAAATTTATAGCTCTATTATTTATTTAATAGTTTATTGTACAGGAAAAATACAACAAGTCACAAAGAATACAAGGGAAATTAAAAACAAAAGGTTCTGCTTATTTCTAATAGAAATTTCTTCCTGCAGACCTAAATACCGGACACTATAACTAAAAGAACGGACATATGTGCACAACAAAACAAGAAAAAATATATAATATAAAAATAATATAATAATATTAAACTGTTATAAATTATATAAATACTTAGATAAATACATATTTTATAATATAATACTTAAGATATGGATGGAATAGTAGATAAATAATGCTCTTTAACTCTCATTTTAAAAACAGATAACGATTTACTTTCGTGAACAGTAATAGGAAGTATATTCCAAAGTCTGACCTTATAAACAGTGAAGGAGTGAGAATAGAAACCGGAATTGAAGCATGGAAAAGATAACTGGGACCTAACAAGAGAGCGACAGGGTTTAACCTAGGACCCAAGGAAGTTGAAACGCTCTTTCAGGTACCCGGGAGACACAGGGTTATGTAAAATATTATAAAGAATGGAGACAATATGCAAATTCCTGCGGAGACGGATGGAAAGCCATTTGAGCTGACTGCGGAAATGTGAAATTCGGTCATATTTACGAAGCCCAAAGACGAACCTTATACCTTAGGTTTTGCAGTAGTTCAAGCTTATTTAGCAGTTCTTCAGTAGCGTCCAAATAGCAGGAATCATTTTCTTTCATTCTGCTAAATTAATAATAAGTGTTGTAATTGGCACCTGAAAAGACTGGAACAGTGTGGTTTTTGCCAGCCAATGTCTACCATGAATTGCACAAACGATTGAGGTCCCATGTATGATGCAGGATACACCATCACCACGAACTCACGGTAAATACGTGTCTGGTCTGCAAAGCAATAAATTGCTCAGGTAAGTATTTTTACGACAAAGTAATTATAATAAAATAATTGCAATTAGTGACATTTAACGTTAAAATACGATAGAACGTCTCTCAGTCTACCTTGAATTAAAACTAACAACAGTTATAATTACCATGTTTTTTGTAATTGGCAGCTTGTAACAGTTGGTAATTTTGAGACATTACTGATGTATTTGCTCCGCTGTAGTCCGCTCCGACGATAATGTTATCCTCGCTGATCTCTACTAATAAACTCCCATCCACGTCCTGTTAATAAAAGTCTGTTATTGCAAACATTTAAAAAGTATTTCGACAAATATAAGACCATTTGCCTGGAAAGTGCCAACTGGTGGCTCAAAAAAAGTAAAGTACGAGTCATTTTCATAGAACTTACTGGGTTGTTGTTATCTTTGCTTTGTTGTTCTCCAGTTGCCAGAGAAACAAAGTCCATTAGCTCGGGACTTCTGAGGGTAGTATGAGCACGATGACGCTCCAACTCCACAATGTTGAGCCATTGTAACCGATTACGCATGCCCGTCTGCTGTAAGTTGCATAGAGACAACGCGAAATAAATAACTGTAAACTGTGTTTTATTTACGAGTTCACGTATGGTTTCTTTAACAATCTCAGTACAGAGTACTACAAAAACCAAATAAATAAATACAAATAGATAACGCACACACTCAACATAGCCCCGCCAAAGGGAAACCCTGTGTCGCGGGTGCCATGTACACACACATAGACATCCACAAATTACACCCAAACTCACGAGAGAAATAATTGTAGGGCATACAACTATTTCTCCCGGCCCGGGAATCGAACCTGGGACCTCTGCGTGGCAGTCCGGCATGGTAACCGTTCGTCCACAGAGGCAGTTTAAACCAATCTCAAAAGTACATGGAATTACATCTATTAGCCAAGTTTTTTAAATCGGTTATCGGAAAGTGCGCGAAACCGTAATCATCACCTAGTTTGCCACCCTTACAGGTGGAATATTTTCTTCAAATTTAAATGGGACCAAAAATGGGGTGCTCTCTTTCTAACAAAAAAAAGAATCATCAAAATTGGTTCACAAATCGCGTAACATACATACAAAATAAAACATACGGTCGAATTGAGAACCTCCTTCTTTTTTTGAAGTCAAGTTAATAAATACACTATTAAAAACATTATACGATTTGTGAACAAAATCCACTAATGTATAGGTTTCGATGTTCCTAATACCTACAACTACTATGAACTACGAAGTAGTACAAATTTAATACTTTTGTCGTTTTTATTCTCTTTTTAACATCAGCTTTCACTGTTGCTTTATACACGGCATGGTAAACACAGTTTAGCTGATGGTTCGGGAGCCATATCTTGTACATCCGAAGTGGTTGACATTGAGACAAGCAGTCCGTGCCGAATATCTGAGGAAGACGTCGTAATAGACAATAAATTGCATATTGTCGGGTATAGCGCAATTACGCGTAACTAGCATTTGATTAGGAATTTCCATTTCGGTAATTTAATGGCCAAATCAAATTTGCATAAATGTCATAGCAACCAAATTAGCGTAATTTCCGAAAATCTATTGTTATCATTCCGTACATAACATAAATTAATACTAACTATGCAAAAACAAAAGTCGTAGCCATTGAAATAATAAAGTACCCTATAAATTTATTTCCCTCTCCTGCACAATTTGGTACGCGCCTTTTATTAATGCTTTTGTTAACGCGGAATTGCACTATCCCCGACGATATACAAGCGCCGATCAGCTTTAAAAAAAAAAATATATATATATATATATATAACTGGAGCTATTGAGTAGCAGGATCAAAATAACCAATCTACTTTATGACGATTCTACTTATTATGACACTAAAACCAACGATTTCTTAATTTAGGCTAAACAGGAGATTAAAACTTAGTACTTCTGAAATAAAACTTTTAAAACTTCACATCAGTCAACTTCAATTTTTTCATTTCAGTGGGAACCGGCGTTACACAACAATGCGCACTCGCAACAAAACACGCGCGCGAAAAAATATTTTATATATACTTCGGAAATTATTTTGTTTGCCGTGCTCTTCCAGCAGTTTCGTTCAACTTTACTCCATGGAATCCAAAATTCACCGTTGTTTTCCTTGGTAAGTAGATAAGATTTATCGCTAGGACAGTAAATTAGCACTGACACCACATCGCACAAATCTTTGTAGTATTTGAACATTTTTGCCTTCTATGCAAACTCTAAATAATATTTATTTAAGTTCATTTATACACACGTTTCTTAAAAATCGTAAAATTAAATAATGTTTAAAAAATATTTGACAATTTCGAAAGAAGTTTCATGATGACAGGAACCATGAATTTGGTAAAGAAGCTGGAAGAAGTTTTGAAAATAGCTGAATGTTCTGAATACGTCAAGTGGCGTTCTAATTAAAATACATTAATTTTATACTGGTTGATATTATGTTTCAAATCTTGTAAATATATATTATAAAATGGTGCTAACTAATTTATGCATAAAATAATACAATTAAAATATACTAAAGTTGTTTAATAGGTCAAACTTTAGAAATAATTAATTCTCCGTGCTTGCAATAGATGGCGCCACTTATTCGAATATTTTGTCCAGACGTAACTTCAATGAATGTCTACTTTCTATTTGACATAAATGCTCTAAAACAGATTATTTCTAATGTCAGCTTCCGATAGAGGGTTATAAGACTTTAGTTTTCTGATATTGATCACAATACATACTATAGCTCAGAAAGGTATGTATTGTTAATGTGACGTAGCGATCACGCCACCTTCTTGAGACCAATCCCTGCACGCTGATTGGTAGACATGCTTCCCATTCCACTGAGAAAATCCGACACATTCAACATGTCTAGTGTTGTAAAAGTCCGACTCATTCGAATAAGAACCTTAAAATCGATTATATGTGAAATGATAAAAGTTACTTTCCTGTGAACTGAAGACGATAAATTATTTACAATTTTTAGATAATTTACTGTTACGAATATTACTCGTAAAGGAGTTATATTCAAGCTTCGCGATTATTGCTTTGCACGAAAATCTTTAACAAAACTTTTTAATTATTGGTTTTTCATAATCGATTATTGGTGAGCTGTCATATACACGTCAAATGAACACTACACATCACCAATTCGGTCTCGCAGGACGTTACGTGCGGGGTTTCTGAAAACAGTGTTTACATCGAGATTATTTGAAAATTAAGTGGTAATTTACAAGTGTAATATTGGCTTTAGACGCAGGCAGGCCTCAGGTAAGTCCTACTTTCAGTATACCTTTAGTTCGCGATTGCGTGTGTACTTTTTTATGACTATTCGTTTTTATAACCTCCACTGACCAGTGAGTCTATTTCTCTTCATTTGTAGGGGTTTGGAATAGTAAAAGGACAAATATGAATGCAGAATATAACTGAGACACTTGATTGTGTAAATCTTTGCTAAACTTCTAGGTTTTATGTAAAAATATTTTGTGTAAAAGTGTTGCGCGCGATAGTAATATTTTCCACATTGTATCTTATTTTCGTAATTTAAAACTAATTATTCTTATTAGAGTGTGCGAAAATTTTAATTGCGAGTTTAACCTACACGTTGCAATGATTCTACACGAAACTTTGTCGACTCTTGTAGGTTTTACTCAGAACAATCTTGCCATCATTCTCGGAAAGTTCAATATTTCATCTAAACACGGTGCCCCTGCAGCGCAATACAAGATAACTTCGTAACGTAAATTTAATTTGCTAATTGATGTCACTGATGTTAAAAAATAGTTTTTATTAAATACAACGACATTGTAGGTAGGCTATTGTCTTTTCTCAAGATAACCAAAAGTGGGTAGATTGAAAAATATAAGACAGTATTACTATTATGTATCTGGTATCAACGTGTGTTTTAATAATTTTTTCAACAATTTTATTATTCATTTGATATTCAAGACACTAAATGAGATCAACATGCCTGATTTCCATTTACACTTTTTACGGTATCTTATCATCTATTAAGATATAGACTGAATATTTATTTCAGTTCTTCCGTTAATATTTCATTTATTGTGAATTTCACACTTATCAGATTTATGTTTAGTACTTGAAGTTGAAGTAAATACACTCTGATGTCTGGTGATATAGTAACCTGGTGATAATTTTATACACTTGCATGTCACATTTATTATTTTTAACACTTAAAATATCATGATAGTAACTATCATGATAACTACGAGTAAAAACAAACAAATATGAAAATCTTTATTAATCTAGTCACATTAATAGTCTTATTGCACACTACTTATTTACATACATTTTATATTTTTGTTAATAATTAGTACATAATAGACAGTCAATGATATTGTTTGCCTATGAGACACATTTATGTTTAAAGACTGTTTCTTGCATTTTGTATCATATTGATAAACAAATCATTTCACAATTTTACAGTTGACTATTGTTGAAATAAAATTAAAAAATCTTTAATTAGTGTATAAAGCCATTGAAAGGTAATTCAGGACTTGGCAGCGGCATCTCCTATAATTTCAACAATCTACATCATGTGTAATGAATTCTCCATAGAGATTTTTCCTAGAAAAGTATTTGCTTAGTTGAGTCAACAGTCATTTTACAGAATGCTTAAACATTTCATTTTACGTCCCCATTTCACCCACAGATTTTTTCCATTCCTTACAAATTTTGTCCGATAAGAGAATTAACGTTCTCCTGCAGTATTTGTACAAGGTACAATAAAAATATTAATGTGATGGCCAGAATTTTATCTACATATCGAAAATAGACATTTAAACACCAACGTGATGAAAATGATGATGATTTTATATGTACGTAAAATTGTTACACAAATGTGACCCTTACCGATAACCATTTCTCATTTGCCAATCATCTCTATCTTTATTTGCTTTATCTGTCACATAAATGTTGTATTTTATGTTCCTAAAGGTGAGTGAGGAATAACTACTTAAGTTCAAGATAGCTTATCAGAAAATTTGGTATGTACTTGTTCCAACAGCATTAAAAAGTAATTTCTAAATTAGAGGTACGTTCGGAATATACTCTTTGTTTTTTTTTGTGATACCAAGTGTCGTAACGAACAAGACACGCCTTTCCATAGCAGTTGCATTACCACTCAGAACTTTATATAAAGATCTCAGGGGCACTGCCACTGCGCCCATCACCTTGAGACATAAGTTTACAAGTCTCATGTGCCTGTAATTTCTCCAGCACCCTTACTTACCCTTCAAAACCGGAACTCAGTAAAGTTCACATTACTGCTTGGCCGTAGAAATAGGTAAGGATATTACAACAATGTTCGTGCAAATAGAATTACTTCACGTATACTGTAGTTAAAAGTCGCAATTGACATATAACATTATACAAAATAAGATTTTAAAGACCTAGGACTTCAGTCCTACTAAGTAGAACTTTACTTTCCAATCAATCTGTAACCGACTCACACGTGGTGTATCACGTGATTGTATGGAGGGAGTTCCAATTGATTTAGGACAGGAAGAGCAAAGTTCGCGGCCTCGTCGTCTAGTATACCTCACACGCTGTGATCGTGTTAAGACAATTGAATCTCGAAACTGTGACTTCCTAGATATTAATTAACATGGGTGTATATAATTAACAACGAGTTGCATTAACCAAATTAAAATGTAACGTGTTTTTGACTATAATACTATCTAGTTTATTGAAGCAAAACTTGTAACAATTGAGGCAGCATGCTGCTTAATGAAGTAGTACAGTTACAGGAGTGGTGGTTGTATTTTGGTTTCTAATCGAAAGCTACATTCTAGTGTGGATACGTAATTTTTTTTAAAGTATGCTAAAGTCGGTGCAATAGTCTGCCGGCCCCTAGCTAGAACGCGGTTAAGTGAAAAAATGATTGAATGATTTGCCCATTCGAATGATTAGTATTAGTATTATAACATTCAAAGTCTCGCATCGCTAGGGTAAGTTGCGATACGTTGAACACTTTAACTAATTTTAACTGTTTTTAAAAGAGAGTTTTGTGCTATTTAAAACGGTGATTTGTGTTATTTAACCATTCGATTTAGCGACTTTTGGCACTGGCTTGTAAGGCGTGGTGAAATCGTCCATCATTTCATCTTCCATTCATAATAATCTCAGTACAGAGTACGAAAAACCGATCTCAAAAGTTCGTGGAATTACATCAGTTTGCCAAGTTTTATTGAAATCGGTTACCGGAAAGTGCGTGAAATCGGATTCGTCCCCTAGTTTGATATCCTTAGACGTGGAATATATTCTTCAAATTTCCAACAAAAAGGAAACATCCAAATCGGTTTAAAAATACAAATACGAGTTGT